TCACGCGAATGCCGCCGCAATATACTGATTGGATGAGTTCATTGGTACTTCGATGAGTGCTGGTCTGTCTGCACAGAGCCATCCAGCCAAGCATTATGATTAGTTTGCGTTGCTCTAATGTGCTCATAAAAAGGCTTGGTTAGTGTGGCGATTTAAATGACTACTTCAGATGGCGATATTTCTTTGCATTCATCACTTTCAGAAACAATGTAACAAAACAGCGGAATGCTTATCGCTTTCTCTTTCTTTCTTAAAAAAAAACAACAAAAATAACTTAATAATGCACTTACGTATGTCGATTTATCTCAAGTAGCAGCAACAGCAGCAGCAGCAGCTCATTGCTGAAAATAAAATAAATGCTATTGGAAATTGAAACAGCTGACTGACTGACTGACTGACTATTGCACTCTTATTGTCCACTTGGAAATCGTCATATGCTGTTAGCTGTTAGCTGTCCGCTCATTTCGCTCATTTTATTCAGATTGTCTCTTCCTTTGCACTGATTATCAGATGAGATAAATAGAAGTGATTCATTTATTGAAAATGCTTTTCAGTAGCTGCCATTAACGCAGCATACGTAAGTTTAGATATGTGTAAACTCGAACGTCCGCTATCGCTATTCCGCTATTTCGCTGTTCGCTAATAGCGGACTAGCGCGCTATTACCCAACACTGCTCATATCCATAGTAATTACCTTGTCTAGAATTATTTAGATACAATCAGCTCGTTAAATTGTTTTGAAGTGTTTGTTGATATTTTGATAGTCAAACAATAGCACTGAGTCACTTTTGTTAGCTATTCAATCGTTGTAATTAGCTGAATGATTCATAATTGTTATGGCTTAAATGGAATGATGTCATATCCCGAATTATGACATTTCCACATCATTCATTTTCAACAATAGTCCTCGTTATTCGAGTTGTTATTGACATTTTGATCACAATTAATACTGAATAATATTGTTACTATTGTTATTATTATTATTGTGTTATTATTGTTATCTTCATTACTATTCATTCATTACATTATTACATTTACCCCAAAGAAAGCCTCTCTTCTTGATAGTTCCATTGAAAGCACATTCACCTTTCATTAGATTTGATCCATGTCTAGCCTATAAAGCGTACAGACTTATCAGTGGTTCTATGAACTCAACTCTGGTCAAGCTATTGATAATAAAGTATTCGTTAATCAGTCACTTGTAGAAATGATTCCTTGATGCTCTTAATGTGCTGGCTTAATCTTCAAACGAACCTCTATCTGATAGAAAAGATTATCTGGAGATCACTGTTAACATTAAACAGTTCATAGCATGACAATTTACTCAAAATGTACCACACTGTAACAATCAATCGCCCTTTATGAAATTGCCAACCTTTATGATGATGATTCGTCGAAATCCAACAATTTCATAAGATTGGTTATTTTGATGATGAAATATNGATGGGAAAGAATATCTATAGATCACCATCATCAGTACAGATCATAATATGACCATCATCAGTAATGTTATTGTAACAACATTCGTAATGTTATGGCTTAAATCGCACATATTTCCATATGCATTTAAGACATGTCGGCAAATATTTCCATTTTCTTTCCAGAATCGTTCGCTTTTTCCGTTTCATAGGATAAGGTGATATCTCACCAGTATTTCCATTCGATGCAATCAGATCAATTATTTCCAATCCTAAGCAATGCTTCATCTATTTGTAGAGTCAACTCAAATGATATGCAGAATAATCATTCTTGTTTGAAGTTATACGTTTGCATCGCTTTCATATGAGTAGATTGAAGTCAAAGTGATCATGCTGAATACAGTGACATCCATGAGCTCTTTGAAACAATATTCATAAAACTTATCGTTTATTTTGATGTCATTTTTAACCCTTTCAATTCAACCCTTCAAGCCTCACATTTTCAACCCTTCAAGCCTCGTTAATATATTGAATCGCTGTAGTTTATAATATATCGGCAAATATGATCCTTCTTATTGTCCGGATGATCTTCTCTTGGACACAGATGATCTGAAACAGATGTGTAATTGATTTCAGAACAGTAGCTGATCACGAGATGCGTCAACCACTGCGTTCGCAATCGTTCAAGCATCGTCCGCGACCTGTTGTCGAGATCAGGCGATGTCCAAATGACGAAGGACCACGTGAGCGAAGAAAGTCTACACCGAACGTCTCACGACGAAGCAGTATCACAACGCGGTTAACTTTTACGTGATTGACACTCATCAGTAATATTACTGTTCTCTATCTGATAGAAAAGATTATCTGAAGATCGCTGTTAACATTAAACAGTTCCTAGCATGACAATTTACTCAAAATGTATCACTCTGTAACATTCAATCGCCCTTTATGAAATTTTTACCCTTTATGATGATGATTCGTCTAAATCCAACAATATCATAAGATTGATTATTTTGATGATAAAACATCATCGCTTAAAAAAAAAGATATTTGAGCTGTTTACACTCAAAAGACTTAAAGGATCAGTTTATAAAGGATTGAAAGACAGACACTCGCATATTTCTCTATCAATGATACAAATCAAATGAGAATTTATTTGTTACAGTCGTATTCCATGTGACATTTATGTGACAGTTTGTTAATTAGTGGTACTTCTTAATGTCATCTTGTTTCATCATGCTGATGACACATACTATAGTGAGTATTTTAACGAATGATTCAGCGAAGTGAATAAAGAAGGGATGTTCGTCCATTTCAGATGTCGTACGGACACACCGCGAACCGATGTATGGCCAGAGGCAAAGAAAACGAGTTGCATTGAAGAGCGATTCTTGAGGCTGCCAGATTCTGAGGACTACACCCGAGTGAGACAGTTCAAGATTGATGAGAAAGGCGCAGTGGTTAGCCGCGGAGACTCATTCAGGCGTAAACGTATGCAGCAAGATGCAGGTCAATAGAATATCAACAGTTATTAGTATCTCTTTGATCAGTGCAGTATTGGTAGATCAGATGATCATCTTAATCTAGGCTCGCTCTCGAAAACTCCTTCCTCATTGAGGATCTAGAAAATACATTTCGACTGCAGTTTTCAAGGAGCACTCACTATCAGCCATTTTGAACGAATTCTACCGTATTTGACAAATTTATTTACTACA